CTGACCAGGGGCGATGGCGACGGCGTGGGGTGCGCCCATGGAGGCGGCTCCCCCTGCGAGGGAAAAGCAACAATCATACGCACACATGCGTGGGCGCGGTCATGACCCCTTGACGAGGCGAGAGCGGGCCTTCATTTGATGTTGCTCGATGCACATTTCGGGCCTCCGCGGACGGCTCGTCGCTGGCGCCAGCCCCCCCTCCCCTCCCTGCAGCCTCTCTCCGATCGCGCTACGGACAGGGCCGCCGAGGGGGTTCGCGCCAGCGGAGAAGCGTCCCGCGGACGTCCGAACCTCTGCGCCAACGTGGGCTTCTTCTTGTCGGGGGGGCTCTGCCTGCAGCAGCGCAGGCGTGTACACTGGGGAGGCCGGCTCCATAGTCGGGCAGAGAGGGGCGCCGATCCCAGACCTCCGACGTCTTGATTTTGTCAATGCTGAAGGGGCCGTGGGACACACAAATAAATACATACACAAATAACAGGATTCCCCATATTTTCCTATATTTTCTAGGTTTCTGTCTTCCCCCCCACTTCCAATATTTTCCCATATTTTCTGGGGGTCGACGATTAATTGTGTCTGTGTGTGTGTTTCCCCTCCTGAAATGCGCAATCCCCAGAGCCCAGAAGCAGCCTCCGGACATGGAAGACGGCGAACAAAAACACCCCCGCCTTGATTCGGGTCAAGACTGCGGGGGTCTGGGGGCCCAGCCCGACCCCAAAATGGCTGCGATGGATGAGGGGGAGGGGGGAAGATGAGCGCCTGAAGCCAAAATGGCTGCGGATAGGATGAGGAGGGGAAGGAGGAGAAGGAGGCGGAGGCGGAGGAGGAGGAGGAGGAGGAGGAGGAGGAGGAGGAGAAGGAGGAGCCCCGACCTCGGACGCCGTGACTGTTTCAAGCTTGGCGACCTCTCCTCTGCTTCGGCAAACGGAGGCCCGCTCCGGGCACCAGCTCAGACAAAACAGGATTCAGGATCAAGAGCTGGCCTAGAAAAAGGGGCCAAATCAAGATATCGGTATCGGAGGTCCTGCTCCTGCGGCTGCTCCTGCTCCTGCTCCTCCTCCGCCTCCTCCTCCTCCTCCTCCTGCTCCTCCTCCTCCTCCTCCTCTTCCTCCTCCTCCTCCTCCTCCTGGCAGGGGGGGATAAGAGTTCGACGAGGGTGTCGAGAAGCCGGGGAGGGAGGCAGACGAGGAAGCAAGGTCAGCGAAGGAGTTAGAGACGGAGAGTGGTGAGAAGGAGCAGGAGAAGCGTCAGCAACAGAGGCATCTGGGATCTTCTGACCTGGGTCACTCCAGACCCGGGTCAGCAGGAAACCAAAAAACTGAAATGCAGGAGAAAACAAAAAAACTGTAACGCAGGTCTTCGCAAACCCGGGTCAGCCAATATGCGCGGCCGCCTCGCGGCCACGAGCGGCTCGCTAACCCGGGTCAGCCAGAGGGGGTCTTCGCAGGATCCTGCAGGATCCGGTGCCCTGGCTGACCCCCGTTTGCATCGACCCCCGTCTCTTGAGCCCCGAAGGCACCCCTTCCCACATCAGCAGGTCTCCAAGATGGGCACCTCCGCAGAGGAGGGCCCAGCAGGGCCACTTGACCTGGAAGGGGGAGGACCCAGCACCGGGCCCCGGGGCCCCCACGTCTTCCACACCCTCGCTGCACGCGCTCCTTGCCTCTCCACCGCCACAGCTGTCGCATCAGCTCCCTATGTCCTTCCTCCCCCCTTCGAGCCTAGGATGATGGCTTATCTATTTTCGTCCCTCCTCTCCCTCCCTGTCCTCGTCTGTCTGTCTGTCTGTCCCCCACTTACCGCCGGTGGCTCTTGCAGCGGTGCCCCACGGGTCACCTGGACCTAGTTTTATGTCGGGCGTGTCCCCCTACAGGGGGATGTTCGACGACCAATAAAAAATATACAAAAAATACCCCCAAAAGGTCAAAAAACAGCCCCAAAATAGTGCCCAAACTATTTTTGTATTATTTTTTGACTATTTTGGGGGTATGTTCTAATTTTCGTCGAAAATCCCTCTGTAGGGGGACAGGCCCGACTTAAACCTAGTTTGATCACCCCCCCAGGGCCGGCTGGCCCTGGGGAGGGAGGCCACATCCAGGGGATCTTGCAGCCACCAGGAACTGGGAACCAGCAGCAGCAGAAGGAGGACGAGGATGAGGAGGAGAGGATGAGAAAGGCAAGGAGGGTAAGGCAAGGAGGACCAGAGGATCATAACATCGACAATTCTGCCCCCGCCCCCCCACTTTGGGGCGACGCGCTCCATTGACGCACACTTCCGCACCGAACTGCCCACCAGATGGGATGGACTGGATTGCACAACTGAGCGTTTTTGTTTATTCGGCGTTTGCACATTGGGAGGCAAGGTGGGGGGGGGGTCTGGCTTCAGACCTCTGCTTAGCGGGACTGTTTGAGACAGTGCGTCAGATTCCCCCTGCTTGAAGCAGGCGCCAAAAAAACAGCCAAGATCTGCTCAAGGCGGGGGGGAGGGGGGATACGAGGACCCGCGCCGATCGTCAAAACAATGAATGAAAAAACGATCACATTGCACAAGTGGTATGGGATGTGCTCCGTTTCACGTGGCGTTGCTGGGCAACGAGCGCTGGGGCCGAGGGCTGCAAAGGTCCCGCATGCCCTGAGGTCTTTGGATGCCTCCGCGGGAAGGTCACCACAAGCCCCAGAGGACTCTGAATTGATGTTGCTCCCATCGTACCCAGAAAAGTTCCAACCCCAGGAAGAATTTCGGGCACCCAGAAAAGTGTCGAACCAGTGTCGAACGAGGATCGCCTCCCAGGGCCCGACGCGTGAAAACCTTTCAATTTTTGTGTACCCTCCTGGTGCTCGAGAAATTCTTCCTGGTGGTCAAGGCTACAGCAGGTTGGGACATCGTATCTCTGGATGCCCCTGGAGGGGGCCTCCAGATGCCTCCCTCCTCCTCCTCCTCCTCCTCCTCCTCCTCCTCCTCCTCCTCCTCCTCCTCTCTGGAGGGGGCCTCCAGATGCCTCCGGATGATGGCGGTGGTGAGGAGGGATGCCCAGGAGGGCAGCAGCGCACAGCACCGCGGCAGCGGGGAGGGGGGAGGGCAGGAGGAGGGAGGATATAAAGGGGGGGGGGAAGGAACGGAGGGGAGCAAGGGAGGACCGGAGGTGACGATGGAGGTGAGAGGAAGGGGGATGATGATGATGACGACGATGATGAAGATGAAGATGAAGATGAAGATGAAGATGAAGATGATGATGATGATGATGATGATGATGATGATGATGATGATGATGATGATGATGATGATGATGATGATGATGATGATGATGATGATGATGATGATGAAGATGAAGATGAAGATGAAGATGATTATTATGATGATGATGACGATGATGATGAAGATGATGATGAAAATGAAGATAATGATGATTATGATGATGATGATGATGAAGATGATGATGCTGATGATGATGCTGATGATGATGCTGATGATGATGCTGATGATGATGATGATGATGATGATGATGATGATGATGATGATGATGATGCGGAGGAGGAGGAGGAGGAGGAGGAGGAGGAGGAGGAAGAGGAGGAGGAGGAGGAGGAGGGGGGAGCACCCAAACCGTCCCAATGTTTCGTGTGTTCACGGGGCCCCCTGAAGTACCCGACCCCTTTCCTGGGGCCGGTTTTTCGTCCAGAATCGGTCTTTAGAGACCGAAGACCCAAGACAAATTCTGATCAGAGTGAGGGGGGTGACCGGCCTTACATTGTCCCTGGGTGCGTGGCTGAATGGGGATCCGCGGCGCGCGCTGATCTCTTGCTTATGATGAACAATCATTATTGGTCCCCTCGTCTGGTGCACAATTGACATGCCGCGGGGGGCGCCCCTGGACATGGGACTACAACAACAACGCCTCCCGCCTCACACATCCTCGCAATTTATTCGAAGTCGCGCTCTCGGTCAAGACTCCTTGCAACATACTCAAGAATCGCGTTCTAGCTAAGGACGCCCTTGCAATTTGCAAAGGCGCTGTGCTCTCGACGTCCAAGAATCGCGCTCTCGCACGAGACCTCCTCACCATGTACGCAGGACTCGCCCTCGCGCCTGCGGCTTTCCTACAATTTGCGAAGATTGCTTCAATGCCCCGCCCGGCCGACCCCAGCACTGTAGGGTCCGCCCGCCCGACCCACCCGTTGAGGCCCACCCGCCCGACCAGCCTTTCAGGGACCGGCCTTTCGCCTGCTCGGAAGCCCGCCCGCCAGCTTTGATGCCCTGCCTCCCGGGAAAGGTTGTTGATCCCTCTAGTCCGGCGCGCACTCTTCTTCAATCGGTGTGCCCCCCCTTCCGGGCTCGCACCTCGTTCCCCAAGCAGCGTTTGCACTTCGAGTTTGTTTGTTATTTCTCCCTGTCTCCCTGTCTCCCTGATTAAAGCTGTGCGTAGCCCGCCTAGCTTTTAGCGGAAGAGGTTCGCTCTCGCCCCGCAGATCAAAAAAAGTTTGCTCTTTCTCTTCGTTCCGGTGATCTGCAGCCCCTTCCAGGTTTCCGCCGTGCTGCGGCCACTGCGGCTTCGCTGGCGCCTCGTGAGCGCCCCGCGCTTGGGGGGGGGGGGTGCCGAGGCTGCACCACGTCGCACCCCTGCCGCCTCAGGGGCGCCCCTCTCGCTGGGGGGGGGGCATGCCGAGGTGGAGCCACGGTGCCGCCCGTGCCGCCTCGTGGGCGCCCCGTGCTCTGAGCTCACACAACATAGCTGCAACCATACTACACGTATGCAACGTATACATATTACACCATGCAGCTTGCACCTCATCGCTCGCACCGTATATAGATAAAAAACAACAACAACACAGATCACAGCACATAGCCTACACCCACAGCTTCCCCCCCAGTTCACACGAACGACATGTCTTACAAAGTACACAGCACAGCGCATAGATGCCACCCCCTCAGTTCACACCACATAGCTAGCACGGTATATCTGTCACTAGACCGCATCGCTTTCATCTCCAGTGCAAGAACGCACTGTTCGGGGTCCACGCCGACTGACATTCTCTAGTCAAGGAACGTCTTCAGCCCGAACTGCGCCCCACATCGGTTCCCGCCTCATATTCCCTCGCAATCTATTCGAGACCGTACTCTCGCTCGCGCTTTCGCTGGGGACCTCCTACCATACAGCAAGGCGCTGAGTTCTCGACGTTCAAGAACCATGCTCTCGCACAACGACTTCCCAACAATATACTCCGGACTCGTGCTCCCGCGCGCGTTTTCGCAACGATTTCCCGAAACTGTTTCCACGCCCTGCCGTGCCTGGCCAACCCGCCCCTTGAGGCCCACGTGCCGGACCCGCCCGTTAGGGCCCGCGCTCCGCCCTGCCTGCTCCGAACGCCCGCCCGCCCGCTCC